GAAATGAGGAAACAGAATCAAAGGATCAACAGAGAGGGTCAGCAAGACAAAACTGTGCAGTCGACACGCTCCACTGCAGAGAACTTTCCACCGGCTTCCCTTAAACTCCCATTCCCTTAAACCCCCAGCTGAGACCACATGTCCGGCCTCCTGCAGCAAGTCGTGACATCTCTAAGTTCCAACCAATGGGAGGAGACTAGGGCTGTCAGATCCGGCCTCTGGGCCAGAGCCCCGCCCTCCACGCCCCTGACTGGTGGTCAGCAGGGCCCAAAGATAAACACCTGGCTTATCGAAACACCTGCAGTTCTAATCACGAGTCTCAAATGTTAAAAGAGAAAAGAAAGTAGGGAAACAATCGTGTGATCATCTCAATGAGAGACAGAAAAACATCCTAAAAAATTCAATATTTGTCCACGATTTAAAACAACAACAACGAAAACTCTCAATGAATGAGGAAGAGGAAAAACTTAATCTGATTTGGCAAACGCTAAACCTGGTTCATCTGGCTTTTATTTTACTGCTTTCTCGTGCCTTCCTGAGCTCCATGAGTCTGGAAGCTAAAAATCACGTTTTCCAGACGCCCCTGTGGCTTAGGTAGCCCTGTGTGACCTGGGGTTCTGCCCAGCACATACCCCATGGATGGAACCTCCGGGTGGAAGAGAGTGCCTAGGAGGCGGTGCACACAGAGGGTGCAGGTTTTCAGAAGTGTGCAGTAGCTATGGCCCCGGTTCTTTGGGGCTGCTGTACTAAATTCTGGGTATTCGAGTGGGAGTCTGCCTGTTGTCCCCGGGCCAGCAGTGGAAGTGGTGTGCCGAGTCTCTGGTGTGCTGGCATTTTTACTGGCTGTAGAGCAAACAAGTCTAATTCTGTATCCTTCCTTGAGCTGCTGTGACCACCCAAACATTTATAATAAATCCTTTTCTGCTTACAATAGCTAGTGTGAACTTTGTTACCTGCAACCTGGAACTCTGACTGGCCTGAAGAATATCTGGCAGAAAGCCTGGGACACACGACCTGCCTAATGCGAAGGCTGGAGTGGGTGTTTCTAGTCAAATCAAACAAGATGAGGTTGATGTATTATCTGCTTCTTTTAAATTCTATACACTATGATTGTCTACACAGAAAAGCCAAGATGATATACAGGCTATGACAACTGAGGGTTTGGCAAGGTAGCCAGATAAAAAAACCATTACACAAAATCCCAAACATTCTTGGCAGGCCAGTGAGTGGGACTCTGCAGAGTATCAGGGGGCACCATAGGCCCAGCTGGACACAGTTACAGGGTACCACCCTCCGTCACCCTCACTGATGCAGCTGAACTCAGGGTCTCCTAGGAGTAGGGAGTCGAAAGAAAGGCAACTCAGAGCATCCCTCAGAGGGCAGAAGACCTTTGCCATTGGGTGAAAGAGGCGGAGTGCATGAACGCCAGGACAAATTCGAGTTGGGCTTAAAAAATGGCATACCTGTCTCCGCAAACTCAGAAAAAAAGACAGCTAGGTTCAGTGAAAAAAGTCAGTAAGTCCCTATTGAAAACAGGGCTCTCTAAAAGCTTTTTAGTCATAAATCTTATTGCATTTGTGAAGCAAACAGAACTGGTTTGGACAGTACCAGATCTGCCCAGGTTCAGTGGGTCCGTGTAGAATTTAGGGAATGTAGCAACCACCGGCATTTGGAGTTTGCACGCAGAAAAACCAACGAGATGTTCCAGGGAAAGGAAATGAAAGGCTGGGCAACGTGGAATCACATGCAAATAGGAGCCAACGGATGGTCCAGCCAAGCAGGCAGGATGGCCCCGAGACCAGCATACGTCTTTATGATCCCCAGATGTGACTGGACGTCACCCTGCACCCGGCCCTGCAGAAGGCCGGCTGGGGGCATCTGCTGGGGTCCTGAAGGCAGCATCTGTGCATCTGGGCTCCGGGGGATCCTCCTCTTTAGAACTCGGGGGCGAGCGAATGGTCCCAGCAGCGCTGTTGCTGGTGGAAGGAGAATGGGGCCAATGGCTCTGGGATTGGCAATGGTGGCCACTGGGCAGAGTGACCGAGGAGGTCATGATGAGAGCCGCAGGCTCCCAGAGGCTGGCAGGACGGTGGTGGAGGCACTGGCCTCCGAGCTCAGCGGGCACTGAGCTCCCTCCCGACCTCCTCAAACACCGAGAACGATCGTCTCCATACATCCCGCCGTCCGCTTCCTGCCTCTTCCCTAGACTTACCGCTTAGTGCTGTGACTTAAATCCTACGGGGTAAGTGACGACTCTCAGGTAGAGCACAGAGGAGCCCGGGAACCCAGGACTTATGCAGCCAATCCCTCCACCAGAGGCCGATGTGTTTTTATCTCTTGCGTTTAAATGCGCATTTTCAAACAGTAGGACGTCTCTTCACGGAGATGTTACTGATTTCCACGTGGGCAACCAGACCCGCGCTTATAAACGTGACCTTTGCCGACTAGATATCACACGCGGCACTCTAGAGACATAAATATCGTGCTTCTACCACGTCGCTGGCCGAGTTTTGAACAGCCACGGCCAGTCTGCACTCGTGACACGGCAGTGGCCTTGACAGTCCTGGACACGCGTCAAGGGTGGTCAAGCCAAACACGACCAAAGTGGGCCAGGCGACATGAGCACGAGAAGCGATGGGTGTGTAGGGTACTCAGCACCGTAAGGACGCGCAAACGTCCTCAATTCGATATGAAAACCAGCGCGAAACTAGAAGTGTGAACTAGGCTTTCCTGGAACCTGATGGACTGATCCTAAAATTCATATTGAAGAACCGAGGGCCCAGGGGAGCCGAGAACGATCTGGAAGGAGAGAAACGCTCCTGCTCCGTCATCCTCCTGTGATGAGGGCGGCGGGGCGAGGAGTCCCCAACGGCACACAAGACACGCGGTCCGGACTGACGGCTCCCCTTTGCCCCCTACCACACCAGCCTTAAGCAAGACATGGAAAGTACAAACTATAAAGGGACAAGCGGGTAATTCTGACCACATTAACATTAAAGGCCAAGGGCACCTTAACGGAAAGGAAGGAAAGATCAAACGCGGATGCCCATGAACCCGCTGTGACGAGTCGTTCCCGCTCATTCACAGCCAGGTCTGTGGTGCACAGACAGTGACAGCCTGAGAGGAGGTGGCAGGGAGCACAGACAGCTATTCTCCCAAAGGAAGCCCACGTGGCCCAAAGGCGGAGGTGGCGCGCACGCCCCCGACAGGCGCGGCGACCCCTCCCGCGCTGACGTGGCGGCGGGGAAGGGCGCGCATGCGCTCGTTCTGGACAACGGCTCCCGGGAGTCCAGCCCCACGCAGCCCGCGCAGCCCCGCTCCGGTTCTCGGTGCCTTGGAGAGCCTCCCGCCGCGGTGGCAAGCGGACCCGCTCGGGCGCTCGTGGAAAGCATCGTCCTCCGTGTCCCTCAGGGAGTAGGCTGGGTAGGCCGCTTGCTGACCCCCGGCCTGAGGTTCCCCCCGCCACGAGGCGGCCGCCTGCTCAGAGGCTCCAGGACCTGCCTCCCCTGTGCTCCCCAGTGCCCCTTGAGGACACTGACAGGGCAGGGGAGAAGATGTGGACTCTGCCAGTCTGGGGGAGGCCCCGAGGAGGCCATTGCGGTGGCAAAGGGGGCGAGTGCAGGTCTGACCGTGCTCAGGACCCTCCCCTGCCGGGTCCTCTGGGATGGCCGTGGCTAGGACACCAGGCTCCCGCTACGAGATGCTCTGGACACTCGCTGGCCCCTGGGACTGAGCATGATGCTTCCTCCATCCCAGGGTGCACCTCGGATTTTGCTGCGGTCCCTAAGCTGGAGTGCAGGGCCCCCCAGCGGGCCCTCTAGGGCCAGCATGCTTCCATTCCTCCCAGGTGCCAGGGGCAGGCCCTCTGGCGGTGACTGGGAGACGTCCCCACACACCTGGATGATCTTTTCAGGGATGTTGGAGACGGTGAAGCCATAGAGGCGCACGCGCTCAGGGAAGATGCTGGACAGGATTCTGCGGTCCAGCTGGAAGGCGATCTCCCCCACCAGCCGCTCCCAGGCCAGCTGCTTCGGCTCTGGGGACAGCAAAGGGTGGAGGGGGTATCAGCAGTCGTGGTCAGCAGCCCAGGCAGGTGGGTGCCTAGGTGGCAGCCCCCCCGGAACCGTGGGAACTGGCTGTGGCACTGACCTCGAGGGCAGTCAGTTAACTTGCTGCTCTTGCGGTGGGCCAGCTTCCGCTCCAAATCCGGCATGGTTTTCCGAGTCGGTTCTGCGACACCGCGGGGGCCCCGCGGGTCGTTGACGGAAGCCGGGGAGGAGGAGGTTCGAGGCGGGGAGTAGGGATTGCGCGGGGGGGAGTGGGAGGTGGGCGAGGGCCGGGTGGGGGAGTGATGTGCCCGGATGGGGGAGTGGGGGGTGCACTGGGTGGTGTGGGAGGCACTCGAGGCGGTGTGGTTGGTGGCAGCCTGGGGGGCAGGAGTGGGGGCAGAGGGGAGGGCTGCAACGGTGGCGGGGGCAGCTGAGGAGGCGGGGACAGAGGCTGGAACCGAGGCTGGAACCACTTGTGCCTGGGCGGCACCAGGCTGGGTCCGGGGGTCTGCGGTGCTGTAGGAGAAGGCCGTCATGGGGCTGGGCGTGCCCGCGGTGCCCACGGGGGTGGAGGTCTGGATGGGCGCACCCACGAATGTCATGCTGAGGGGCTCCGGGTCCTGGGTCGGCCGGGGGTGCTCGGTGGAGAGTGGGACTAGCGACAAGGTGGGGGCAGAGAGGAGAGGATGAGAGCGAGGCAGGACCAGGCCCTAGCCTGGCGGGGGCCCCTCCGGCCCCCCGCTGCCCCTCCTCCTGCACGGGGTACCTTTGGAGGTGGCAGCAGGCCCTGTGCCAGCTGAGGGATGGGGTCCAGAGGGGCATCCGCGGAGTGGCTCTGCCAGCCGCACCCTTGAGGCCTCCGATAGCACCAGATTGCTCATGGGGTTGGCCAGAAGGTTCTGAGGGACACCTAGAGGGGCAGCCGTGGAGGTCAGCAGGGGGCTGCTCAGAGAGACAGCCATCGTGCCTGTCACAGGGGCCATCAGGGGGCTGCTCTGAGGCATGGCCATGGAGCCCGTCAGGGGGCCGGTCGAGGGCAGCCCCAGGGAGCTGGTCAGTGTGCCCGCTGGGGACACTGCCATGGGGCCGGTCAGGTGGCTGCTTGGAGTCAGGGGGCCGGTCGAGGGCAGGCCCAGGGAGCTGGTCAGTGTGCCTGCCGTGGGCACTGCCATGGGGCCGGTCAGGTGGCTGCTTGGAGTCAGGGGGCCGGTTGAGGGCAGGCCCAGGGAGCTGGTCAGTGTGCCTGCCGTGGGCACTGCCATGGGGCCGGTCAGGAGGCTGGCGAGTTGGCTGTTCTGCGACATGGTCCCTGGGGAGGGCAGCAGCGTGCTGAGAGGGCCCGTCAGAGGGCTCACGATGGAGCCTGCCGCGGGGCTGGGCTGCGGGCTCTTTAGCATGTCGGTCAGGGGTGCCAGAGTCACAATCCCCACTTCTTCCAGGACAGGCTCGTTTGCTGCTGCCGGGGACGGGGACAGGAAGACACCTGGGGGACACAGAGAAAGCACTGAGACCCTACACGGCCCTTGGGGGAGGGCGCTCTCTCCTACCATGCCAGAGCCTGGACCAAGGTGCCCGTGTGCCTCTGATGTGCTGGCCGATCTCTCTGAGTTTCAGAGAGACCAGGTCCTGGTCTCTCGTCTCTCGGTCCTCCCAGGTTCACTGCTCTGAACACCTGGCCCCAGCCACAGAGACCTTTCACAGCTGCCCGCCTCTCAGATGTGCCCACTGCACTGAGCTGCTGACCCCTTGCTGACATGGGTGGCCGAGTTGACTCCTCTCCAAGATCTTTGCACTGACTTATTGGTTTGTTCCTTCTCCCTCCGTTAGGACGGAAGCTCCATGAGAACAGGGGTTTGTCTGTCTGCTTCTGTGTCCCAGTGCCTAAAGCAGTGCTTGGGCCCCAGACGGTACCCAAGAAGCAGGAAGAACGATGTGTATATGAGCAGACGTGAAACTTGATGAGTAAAAAAAATTGATCAAGATAGGAATCGAGGTCTAGTAGACTCGAGTTTGTGTCCCTAAGCACTGAGAGCTTAATCTGACCACAGAGGGAAGTGTCCATAGAATGATCTTATTATAAGCTGTGGCCACTGAGATGGCCGTACGTGATCCAAAATTCATGTTACTCTTTGAAGGCATCGTATACTCCTCAGAATACAAAGAGTGCAAGATTCTCGAGGTCTACAAAATCTAATGTAGTCCCATAGACTTGCAATAAATAATTCCAAAATGAAATTAAGAAAACAGCATCCAAAAGAATAAAATATTTAGGAATAAATTTAATGAAAGAAATGCAAAACTTATCCTCTGAAGGCTCTAAACATTGTTAAGAGAAATTAAAGAAGATCTAAATAAATGGAAAAACATCCCACGTTCATAGATCAGAAGACTTAATATTGTTAAAATGGCAGTATTCCCCAAAGTGATCTGCAAATTCAATGCCATCCCTGTCAGAAACCAAGCCTGGCTTCTTTGTAGAAATTGGCAAGTTGATCCTAAAATTCATATGAAATTGCAGGGGATCCAGAATGGCCATAGGAATCCTGAAAAAGAAGAAAGTTGGAGAACTAATATTCAGATTTCAAAACTTACTATGAATTACAGAAACCAAAACTATGCAGCACTGGCATAAGGACAGACATACAGATCATGGAATAGAATGAGTCTAGAAATAAACCCATGTACCTATGATGAACTGACTTTGACAAGGGTGTCAAGGCAATTCAATGGGGAAAGAATAATCTTTTCAAAAAATGGATATCCACGTGCAAAAGGATGAAGTTGGACCCTTACCTCACATCACACACAAAACAACTCAAATGTATCACAGGCTGAAATATAAGAGCAAAAACTATAAAATTCTTGGGAAAAAAATAGAGCAGTAACTCTGCAACTTTGGATTAGGCAATGGCTTTTTAGATACGACACCAAAAGCATGGGCAACAATAGATAAATTGTATTTAATCAAAATTAAAAGCTCTTATGCTTCAGAGGACGCTATCAAGAAAGTGAAAAGATAACCCACAGAATGGGGGAAATATTTGTAAGTCAGATATTTGGTAAGGGATTTGTATCCAGAATATATGAACTCTTACAGCTCAATAATAAAAAGACAAATGGTCCAATAAAAATTGGCAAAGGATCCGAACAGACGTTTCTCAAGGAAGACATATGGTTGGCCAATAAGGACATGAAAAGATGCTCAGCAACACTAGTCATCAGAGAAATGCAAGTCAAAATCACAACGAGATACCACTTCACACCCACTAGAATGTCTATAATCAAAAAGTCAAATAATAAGAGTCATCAAGGACACAGAGAAATTGGGGCGCTCATACACTGCTGGTGGAAATGCAAGATAGTGCAGCCATTTTGGAAAACAAACTAGCAGTTTCTCATACAGGTAAACATAGAATCGCCAGCAATTTACTCCTAGATATATATCCAAGAGAAATGAAAACACATCCACATAAAAACTTATATAAGAATGTTTGCAGCAGTATTGTTCATAATAGCCAAAAGGAGAAAACAAAAAATCATCAAATGAAGAATGGACAAACAAAATGTGGTGTGTCCATTGACGGCATATTATTCATTCATGAAAACCCTCTCAATCCCACCTAGAAGTAGTGATTCACGCTACAACATAGATAAACCTTGAAAACATTGTTAAACGAAAGCCACAAAAGCCACATATGTACGGTTCCATATATGTGGAATGTCCAGAGTAGGCAAGTCCATAAAAACAAAGTAAATCAGTGCTGCTTAGAGCTGAGAAGGGGTGGGTGGCAGGAGTGTGATAGCTAAAGGGTTTCTTTTTGGTGCGATGAAAGCATTCTAAAATTGTGGTCATGTTTGTACTTGTCTATGAATATATGAAAAACCGTTGAATTGTACACTATAAATGGGTGAATTATATGGTATGGAATTATATCTCAATAAAATTGTTATATAAAAAAGATTCATTGGGGGTCACAGGCATTTAGGGGTGCAATTAAGTGCACCCCTGGGTAGTATCACAGGCTGTGTGTCCACTGCTTAGGGCCATGATGGTGGCAGCATCAGTCACAGACGAACACAATGTCCACAGAGTTTGTGACTCATCTGGGTCGCCCATGAGAATCTCAGGAACAGCCTTGAGGAAATCTCTGGCTGGGTGATGGTGACACTTAAGTTTGGGGAACACTAGTAATGCTGATGCCAGGCCACAAGGTGTGAACAGGGGTTCTGAGCCAACAGGAGCCAGGGGGTCAACCTCTGCTGAGGAGATTCTGGGCCCCTAGCTTTGTACAAGTGATCGTCCTTTTTATAACTTCTATTTCATCGATCTCGATTTGTGAGTTGAAATCTTCCTGTGTTTGAGTACACTATTAGAACCTTCAAACGAGCTTTAGATTCGTGCATTCATGTTTTTTGTTTCATGTAAGAATGATTTAGGGTCTAGGAAGTTTGCTTTGTTACCTCGAACGATTGAAATGAAAAAGAAAAGCAAATATCTTAGATTCGCAAATGCAGGTGACTGTTTTCCACTGTTTAACTGAACTTCTGATTCCTCCCCCACCTGCTCCTCGCAGGGGCAGCTCCATCCTTCCCGCCCAAGGCCGGGATTTTGGAGCGGCTGCACTCGGGTCTCCTACCCTCATGCCGCAGGTCGGGGCCGCGCCTTTCCACTGTGCTGACCTCCGCCGCGCGCCACCTCCCTCGCCTGGCCTCTCGCCCTGGGCTGCAGCCACCTCAGCCGCGGTACCTCCTGGGTCTGCCCACCACCCGCTGCCTCTCTCTCCTCGGACCCTTCGTCCCGCGCGCAGATGTCAGCGAGCGAGAGGCCGCGGGCAGAGGCGACCCAGCCGCCTAGACCTGGGTTCGCGCGGGGACCGAGGAGAAGCCAAGGTGGCCGGTAGTCTCCGCGGGTGGTCGGAGGCTGCGTTGCGCTGGGGCCCACCAAGACCTCGCAGAGACCAAGCGTAGGGCGCACCGCGCACTGCAGAGGAGGCCGGGATGGAGGCGGAGCCAAACCCGTGGGGCGGAGCTAGGACACTGGGCGGGGCTGATGGGGGCGGGGCTAGAGTGCTGGGCGGGGCTCTGACGGGGCGGAGCCCGCGCATTTGGGCGGGAAGCTGCTGCTTTCGACATGGGAGGACTGAGGAGAAGGCTGGATCCACAGAGGGGAAATCTGTGAGCGAATGTGGCTCTAGTTCAAGGTTCCAAGAGGGCAGGAGAGGTAGGAGGAGGGGAAGAGAGGGAGGATGGTGATGGGTCCCGAGGGGGACGGATCCTGAGCGTGACACGTCGTGAGGGGCGTGGTGACAGGTCCTGAGAGAAGACGGGGGCAGCCGGTCCTGCGGCCAAGGAGGGAGGAGTGGCGGGGTGGAGCCTGTCTCGGAGGAGTCACTGTTTTAATGACAAGCACTCTGGTGGCCCCTATTTGCTCTCTGCTCCAGCGGCCGCGAGCGGGAGGCCTGCCGGCGCTGACCCCGGGCGCCATCTCCCACCGCACCAGGCGGGTCCCCTTCCCCGATGTGCCCCATCCACTGACCTCCCCTCCTCAGCTGCCCCTGACTGCCATGTTGCGCCTCCGCCTTGGTCGCAGGTCCCTCCCGGCCACCCGGTGTCCAGCCTCTCCAGATCCCTGGCACACTGGCCTCTCTTCTCTCTCTGGCCAGCAGCGGGCCTGGTCCCCAACGCCTGCTGAGTCGGCCCTGCTGCCTGCCTGCCCCGAACCACACACCACTGGACAGGGTAGGTGGCCGTTGCCTTCAGAATCTAGCCACGCTGACACCACTCAGGCCACTGCCCAGACAGACAGACGGACGGACGGACGGACGGACAGCCTTCCCAGGTTCCCCTCTCATTCCTGCGACCACTTTCGCCCTATGTCACACCTTCCCGCCTGCCTGTCCCCGCCCTGCTCTCAGAGAATGGCATTTTCACAGGGAAAACCGAACCCAGGTCTGGAGTCTCCAAGTCCACTCCGGGCACTGTCCCTCACCTTCCCTTCTGTCGCCCAAGGGCAGCCCCCTCTGTAGAGCGCCCTCTGGCCCTCCCCTCCACTCCGGTCTCCGCCATCTCGCAAAGCAGCTCCGGACCCCCAGCCACGTCCAGCCGCTGCCCGCTCCGGGGGCCGCGCTCCCCGAACTAAGCGTCAGGTCTATTCGCTCGATTTCTCACTCGCTCTTCACCTCGCTCGCCTACGGTGGGGCTGAAGTCACTCTGAAGTCACTCGAACCAAGGTCGTTAACGCCAAGTCATTAACACTTTTTTTTTAAGAACTTTTCTTGCTTCATCTCTCAGCCTTTATTCTGTCCACACTCTGTCGTCTCCGAAGCTGTCTCTTGCCTCTTGCGACATCACACTGTGGCAGTTTTCCTGTCTGTGAGTGCTCCTTTGCCGGCTTCTCCACCTGTCCTGACTCAGCACGTGTCCCTCAGTCTCTTCCCACTGTACTCTCTTCTCAGATGGCCTCGCCTCCTTCAGTGACCTCCCCTCTGACCTTCCCTATTGACACTGCTTCCCTGACACTCCACGTGGATGTCTTGTGAACGTCTTACAGTCTGGCCGAAGGGTGTAGGAGGTGCAGCTGGGCACAAGAGCACAAGAGAAGAGAAAGGTGGGCTCAGAAAGAGGAACCGAAGGTCGAGGTCATGAGAGCAAACTGAGAGTAAAAGCCTGGCCCCATGAGGAAGGCCAGTCACAGGGTGAGGAAGTGGCCGAGAAAGATCCTCTGACCCCTAGGAGTCGGAGAATCAAAAGTGGTCCAAGGATTCTCTTACGAATCAATGCTGAAGTGAGAAGCGTTGCTTGCTGAGCCTGCCAGTGGGAAACCAGAGTCTAGTTCCTTAAACGTCACGCTTCCCTGTGGATTAGTTTTGTTGCCCTGTCTGTTGTCTCAGAGTCATTAGCAGTATAACCATCCAAACGAGAGGGGCCTATGTGCCTGTGATCAGTAGCGGGGCACTGTGAAGACAGATCCCACGCCGCAGCCAGGTTGGGTGGCATAGAACCCAGCGGGCAGGCAGCAGGCAGAGGCAGCTTTCGAGAGTAAGGGGAGGGCGGCTTTTAGCTGGAAGTGGCACGGTCGGAGAAGGCGCACAGACCTGAGCGGGTGTGGTGTCCTGGTGGACAGAACAGGCAGTTAATCAGAACCGTGTCTCGGCTGGCGTGGGCTATGTTCCAGGGACTCGCCGGATCTGCAGGAGCCTCTGAGGGGATCCGCACTGCCAGCTGAGGGTGAACCGTGTTGGGGGGGCTGGAGAGGTATAGGGGGTGGGGCCCGAGAGGAAGCAGCCATGAGGAAGTTGGGCTGGGCTGGGGCAAAGGTGCTCCTGGAGCTCAGAAAGAGGAAGGTCATCAGTTCCAGATGGAGAGATCTAGAAAGGTGTGACCTTCCTTGGACGGCAGAGTTGTCCACTGCCAAGCTGCAGAGGTCTAAGAGGCAGACTAACAGAGCAGCGCCCTCCTCTCAGGAAAGAAGGGTGGTCTCACATCTGACTGTGAACCGGCCGGGGAGGGGGCAGACAGCAGGCAGAGTGGGGTGCAGGGCCTGTGGCAGGGCAGGCCACCGCCGGAGTGCGTGGGCTCCGCGCATGTTGGAGAAGCGCACCTCGAATGGGAGGGCACACAGCCTCCTTCAGGCTGGGACAGATGGGGGCGCGGCGGGATGTGGATATAACAGCCACCAGCATTCCATCACCTCCTAGCCCTACGTAAAGCCACCCACTCACCGTGACAGCCACTGACTCCTGTTGCTCCCTTCCGCAACCTTGCCAGCCCAGAAATTGTCCCTCTGGTTTCTTCAGTGCCCACAGTTTCCCCTGTCCTGGCGCTCTGCTGCCATCACCGCTCTCAGCCCCGCAGCTGCCCTCGCCTCCTGGCCTCTGAGCGCCCTCCCGGCTCAGCCCTGCCCGTCATCACGTCAGCTGCTTTTCTGCCCATCCTTCTGTTCGACTCTGCTCTGTGACTCTCCAGCGCCAGGGCTCTGTCACGCACCAGCGAGTCCCCAACCTCAAGCTTCAGTCCTAGCTTCTTCCCTGAGCCTCTAAGCTTAAGTTGTCAATTGCCTCCTGGCCATCTCTGCATGGAGAGTCATGGGAGAGAGGGACGGGTGTGAAAGGGTGAGAGGGGATGGGAGGCCGAGGGCCAGTGACATACTGGGCCCATCTGGGCAGCACTTTTGGGTCCCAGAGCCAGGAAATTCTCAGTCCATGGAGCTGCTTGGAAGTTCAGCGGGGTTGGGGGATGCGGAGGGTGGGCAGGTGGGCGGGGCCAGCGCCTAGTTTTGCCCTTTTGTCCCAATGGCCCTGTGCCTTCACCCACCCCGCCCCGGCGGGGCCCCTGGGCTGCAGAGGCGTCACTGTCTGTGCCTCTCTCCCCACGACCCCCGAGGCCTCCCACGCTCAGTCTCTCCCCTTTGGTGCAGCTTCACCCTCCCAACCCACTCTCCTTGAACTCAGGTTCTTACAGTTATTCTGGTGTTGAGAAGGGCCGGTTGCCGCCTCGCCGAGCCCGCTGGTGAGCCCGCTGATGCACAGGCCACCCGCCTGCGTCTTGATCGCTGACTTGAGCTCGTGATTCTCCCGAATGAGCCGCACCAGCTTCTTCAGTTCCTCATTTTCCCGTACCAGCCTCTCGATCTGATGCCGAAGCCCCTCATAACTGGTAAGTAGAGACATGCCCCAGGGCAGCGGGAAGGGTGCAGCCCACCCGAGGGCACTGCACCTGGAGGCTGCCCAGGGCCCCGGGCCTTGCCCGGGCTGGAGGAGGGCGCCAGAGTTTGCAAGTCGCAAAGCTGGCCCAGTGGGTATTGTGAGGTCAGAGGCAGTGCCCTCCTTGGCCTCTCTGCTCCAGCAGGCTCAGCTCTCGTGCCTCCGGGCCTGTGGGCAGGCCCTGCCTCGGCCTCTGCTGACCCCTCCTCCGTTCAGCCAACCTTGCTCTGAAGGTGCCTCCTCTGCGAAGCTTCCTCGTGCCCATGGCAAGCTAACCACTGCCCTTTAGGCTTCCCCCGCAGACGCGGTCTCTGTCACGGCACTCACCTCGCTCCGTCTGCTTAGCTAATGCTGCTCTGCTCACTTATGTGGAGGGCAGAAACCGTGGGGCTCTCCAGCACCCACCCAGGGCCTGGTGCCACGTGGGCGGGTGGTCAGTGGGGGAGCTGCTGGGTGGAGTCGTCGCCCTCCTTCCTGGTCAAGGCGCCCTTTCCTTAGGCCCTCGGCCACTCCTGATGGCAGCCTGGCAGCCTTCTCCTGGGGCCGTTCTGCCTTGGACACCTGGACACAGGGCCCTGCTTTCTGCCGACCCCAGGTGCTCAGAGCATGGCCTGACTGCCAGGCCGGGCCCCCCGTCTGAGCGCCTGGCTTCCTGTCGCTTGGCGTTTCCATATCAGGTGACTGGAGCCCCACCTTCCAGGTGCTCCTGGCCATGCCCACCTGCGCCACACCTCCGTCTTCCCGCTCCCCGGCCTCCCTGACGGAAGTCCTTCTAGAGCCTGGCCGTGTCCCTTGTCAGCTTCCGAGAACGCAGATCTCCGAGCCCCTGCCACGGTCCCTTTCCCTAGAGCTGCCTACGCAGAGGGCTCTGCGGGCCTGGCCTTGGGAGTCAGCTGAGCCACGTCCTCTCGACCTCCACTGGCTGTGCGGGCCTCTGCTCACAGGCGGGAGGGGACGGTGAAGGCCAGGGACGAGCCGCGGGCACACTCTAGTAGTCGGGTGGGGCAAGGACGGGGCTGAAGATCAGCATTCCGTCTGGACCTCACAATAGGCCCCCGCCCCCGACGCCCAGGCTGCAGTCCTGGCCGAGGCGTCCTGGGCGCCAGGTCGAGCTCTCTGCATGGGGCAGACGCTCCACACCCTGTCTCCAGCATCCCGCTGGGCCTTCCTGCGGCGTGGAAATAGGCTTCGCCTGCCCTTCTTGGGCGCCTCCACCGCAGCCCGCTGTAGGCCTCTCCTCGGGTCAGTGCCGTCTTCACCGTCCGTGGAGGTTACGTGTCGTGTGGCAGTTTGGCTGGGCTGTGGTCGCGTGTCTGCACGGCGGCATTCTCTGGATGTGACTAGCAGCTACGGTCGGTTGGCGTTAAGGAAAGGCCACTCTCGATGCTGCAGGCGGGCTTCGTCCAATCAGCGGAAGGCGCGAGCTGACCACTGCGGTTTTCCAGGGAAGGAGGACTGTTTCTCGGTGTTGTCTCAGGTCCCTCCCGAGCTTCCAGCCTGCTGGCCTGCTCTACAGGTTCGGACTTGCCAGCCCCCACGGTCGTATGAGCCAGTGCCTTGAGTAAACCTTTTACCACGTAGGAACTCTGAGACACCGTCTCTATTTCCCTGAGTATCTGTGCTTCTTTTCTCCAAAAACATGTATTGAGCACCCACTGTGTGTCAGGTGCTGTGTCAGGCACTGGGGGTTCAGTGCCTGTCATGGTACAGTGACAGTGCGGTACAGCGGGGACAGCTGTGAGCGGGAAAATCACATGTAAATGTCCAGTGGCTGCTGCAATGACTGCTGTGCATGGTGCTCGGAGCGGGTGCGGTCCGCGAGGAAGTGGTGACAGAGATGACATGGACGGGTCTCTACGATGGGAAGCGCTTCCTGGCAGAGGGCCCGGCCATGTGGACCTGCGGGGCCGCGCTGCATGGAAGGAGCGGGAAGGGCCGCGGTCGGGGAGCAGAAGATGGTGCGGGCATGCGTTGGGGGGGCCGGGGTGGGGCCGGGCTCTGGCGGGCCTCGTGGCCTGCACCGATGTTGTCTTCCCTCCGAGGGGCCTTGGGGAGCCCGTGTGGGGCTCTACGGAGGGCTACGGG